ACACACACACACACACACAGAGGTATTTTGTATGTTCTGTTGCCATTGTTGGGGTGACTAAGAGAGTCAATTGTGCATGTCGACAGACAGACCAGAGCATGCTTCACCTCACGCAGCGTGCACTTGACGAGTGTTATCATGTGGCTATGCACTCTTGATTCTTAATTATCTGAAACTCCAAACAGCCGTCACATAACAGGAACGCATGCACACACTCAGGTTTCATGCTAAGTGTAAAGATCTAGTGCAGTAACAGCCCAGTCGCCATAAGAAGATGTTGGCATCTTACATTTCTGCAAACCAAAAATGTTACATTTGTATGTTTTATATGTATCATAACATTTCTGAAGTGATGCAGTGTATGAGCTGACTTTGTCATCAGGAGGTAGAGGGGATAGTGGATAGTGTGACACTAAAGCAAGACCTGCCAAGCTCCAGGCAACTGTTTGAGACCAACCAACAACAAACCTGGTTATTTTTAGCAAGTCATCGCAGCGTTTCTAGCGGCTTTTTAGGCATCAAACGTGGGTGTTCTTAACAACCTGAGGCTCTTTTTCCAGCACTGTTTTAGGCACCATACATAGATTTGTTTTGGGACCCGTTTCTGTTTTTTTGTGGCTTTTTAGCCCCAAAAAATAAGTGCAGGTTTGGCTCCTTTTCCAATGGCTTTTTTAGATACCAAATGTGGGTGCTTTTTAGGGACTTGTTGCTGTTTTTCCTACTGGATAGTGCCACAAAAAATCAGTTGTTAAACCTAATCTCACATCAACCACAATGTTGTTGTCGTCTCATACTTCCACCTGAGATAGCAGCAACCAACTTATGACCAGACCTGGTCCTCTGGTCGAAGTCTTGTCAGTGTGCTTTCTTCATACAACTAACTGTCCCTTGGGAGAATGCCATTGAGGAGGTGTTTGAACGCAAGAGATTGCGCTGCGCTGACCTCATAACTGAAGCGGCGCCTAGAGGCTGGAAAGCTGAGGTGCGACCGATAGAGGTGGGCTGCAGAGGCTTTGTCGCCAGATCCACCACTAGGCTCCTCAAGGAAATTGGGATTAATGGTCAGGTCCAGAGGGAAGTGGTCAAGGATGTGGCCAATATAGCTGAGAGGTGCAGTCATTGGCTATAGCTGAAGAGAAAGGATCCCGTCTGGGCCCCTGGGTGACCACGGAGGAGCCAACCTTCTGACACACACCCAGGCCTGATCGCAAGTTTTTTTTTCCTAGGATGGCGAAGGCAAGACCCACCCTACTCTGCCTTAGTCTGCCTCCGATTGACTTACCCTGACATTCTTACACTAACCCTAACCAATCTCGTTCCTCATGCCTAAACCTAACCAATCCAGCCAAAAAAGGCAGTTACTACTGGCCAATCAGAGGGAGAGTAGGGTGAGCCATGCCTTCGCCATCCTAGTTAAGAAAATTGCGTGGCCTGATCAGCCTGTGGTGGGCGTGCCTTAACGGAGGGTGTCTTGTGATAAAGGCTGAAACACCCGATGATGTTGAGGTGCACAACTGATGATGTGTCAGGGGTTGGCTTTGCTGGGTGGTCACAGTCAAAACACCTATGCTCTGGCATGTAGCATGCTGAAACTCCAGGGATGGTAACACCAAGTCCTAACTGATGAATCATGCGTTTCAATGTATCAGCTATTCAGTATTGTACAAGTGTAACATATCATGTCTGCTTTTTAGAAACGTGCAATGGCAAAATGTTTTCTGGTGGTTGGTTTGGCAATAATTAGCGTTCATCTCTCCACCCCAAGACCCCTAACTGCTCTATGTACAGGACACCAAGGTTGGCAGTGACTAATGACTGCTAACCTTTAACAAAAAATATTGTCATAACTTTTGTATAATTCAGGTATCAGATTATACAAACTGTTTTTCTCACATTTCCCAAACATGTCTTGAAGCCAAAGGTAATGGTCCAGCTCCAGCGACAAGGCCTGTTCAAGTTAAATGACCTGAGAAATGAGTTGCTATTTGGATAACATGGGTAGCTGCAAACAAAAGAGAGTTCTGGGAGGTTCGGAGCACTTAGATTCTATGTTGTGCTTTCAAAATGCTCTCAGGTTTCACGTCTGTAGTCGTAAACAACACCTTCACTAATTCCTTTGGAGGAACCCTAAATGAAGCCAGGCTTTATTACTTGTCCATGACCCCTGAGGTGCAGAGGAGCGAGATAAGCAAGAGGTAAGAAACTCGACAAATTACACAGTTTTTTGGTTGGGTGCTATCTGTGCAGGCTCGGCCACAAAGACCCCCATTGTACCTCCGGCTGCAACTCTGTGTGTCCTTATCACAAAACATCAGCACTTGGCGGTCGTGGTTAACTTATCCCAGCACTGATGCCCCCCACACAGCCCTGAGAACCCAGAGGCCATTGTCTTTCACCTTGATGCGGGGCTTGGTGAAAGCGAGATGGGACAAAAAGCCCTGCAGGTTTCACATGCTGCGGCTTTGTAGTACTCCGTCAGGGGAACTGAGGATGGGGCCGACCGCAGAAAGTAGGCTACAGGTAAACTGGGCTCAGCACAAAAGAAACAAAACGGGAATTGTACATTTGAATGGCCGCACATTCATGCATTTGACATATGAAGCCTGTGGTTAGAGGCACAGCAATGGGATTTTATTTCACATGACCAGTACAAGAGACAGACCATGTTAACTTCCTAAACTTCCTATTTTATTGTTCTGACTTTCAAGAAATAGGTTGACATATTAGGAAATGAGCTAATATCAATGGCTAAGATATGGGAAGATAAATACCATTCTTTTATGTTAAATATAAAGCTACAGGTAGGAGACAGCTAGCTTAGCTTAGCATGAAGACAGGAGGCAGAGGGAAACTGCTAGCATGGCACAATGACTTCCTGTGGTCCTACACTTTGATTTTTGTACAGATTACACAAACAACGTTATTAAATGAGCTTTAGAGGTGTTCTTAGGTGGATTTTTGTTACATTTGGACAGAGCCAGGTTAGCTGTTTCCCCCTGTTTCCAGTTTTTATGCTTGGGTAAGCTAACGGTCTTCTGGATGTAGCTTCATATTCGAAGGAATTTGGGACATACTTACCCAGGCTATGTCCAAGAGTAACAAACCCCACTCCCCAACACTTGTTTGTTTAATCAGCACAAAAATCAAAGTGTAGAAATTACAATTTGTAATTTTACATGTGACTGTGTGCCAAACTATTTCTTTGCTGGTTGTAGTAGTGACATTAGGCTTTGAAGCCGATTTTTGTAGTGGCCAAACAGTGGAATTACAACTTCCAAGCATGTGACATGATGCCAGTAGGCCCCAAAAGACTTTTTGCCATAGACTTAAAATAAAGAGACGTCTGTTAATCAGTGGATACATTTTTTTGAGCATCATAACCCTCTCGAAATGACTCGTTGCATCATTAGGATTTGATCCATTCAGTCTGATAACATTTAGAAATGGTGCAAGGTGAAAGGGTAAATCATTTTATCCCAACTCAAGTTAGTGGAGTTCTAAACTGGAATTAGCAGGCTCGGGCGCACCTGCTTTAGGGGCCACACAGTGCGGAAGCAATGCCGATCATCCGGGTAATTTTATACACGGCATTTGAACTTTTTTGGCTTCATGCGTCACTGAGCAACTTTCGTATGAATCAACACTGTATCCAGTTCTCTCTATACATCTGTGAGTCCTACACTTTGGGTTTTAGAGGTGCTGGTTATATCATGGACAAGATAGCTGTTTCCCCCTGCTTCCAGTCTCTTTCCAGTCAGGCTAAGCTGTTCTGTGGCTCATGTTAAAGACACAAACATGAGACTAATATTTCATGTAGGAACTACCTTCTTTCTACTGGACTACACCTGCCAGCTGTATCACTGCGCAGGAGGAAGTGTCCATCTAATGCTAACTCACCTAGCACCTCTGAGCTAGCAAACATTAGCGCTCAGCTGAAGAGGTCACCATTAATGTTTTGTCTCTATCTCAAACAATCATGACCATGAGCCTCTTGTACATGAGTAGATAGACGTTTCCTTCTGCACTGATATCTCCAACACTGAGCAAATCACACCAAAACAATCTAGATTAATAAGTAGCACTACAGGTAAGAGGTAAAACGTGTATTTTGATTTTAGGTGAACTGTTCCTTTAAGATCAGACTGCTTCAGTGTCAAAGCTGAATACATTTTATGTGTGCTTCTGCTCCAGTTGTAATAAATGACCCAGCCTTAATTTAAGATCTAGAACATTTATTTATTGCACTTTATCTAGCAGATGCTAAATGATTACATTCTCAGTTTGGAACTTAATAAAGACTGCTATTCTGGAGCATCTTAGTACACAAATAGAAAGAACATCCTCTCCAGTGTTCATTGTGTTCCAATTAGGGGCTGGCTGGCTCGAGGGCTTGATAGATTGACTGCTACTGGGTTTCATCCAGTCATCAAACTCAGTGCCAGATCCACTTATACAACCTGGAGTGGGAGAGTGGTCCTCTTAAACTCTCAACTACACTTTAAAGAACTCTATATGAATGAAATGTACGTTGTCATGCCCGACGGGTGTTTTGCATGAAGGAGTGTTTTGAATTAGTTTCACACACGGAGCATGCTGTGCTGCAGAGTCATTTCCACCTGTCCTAATCCTAACGCTGCTGGGCTTTGAACTTGGGCTTCATGTGATGCCTTAATCCAGCCAAACATTTTGCTGCCACGAGAGAGTGTGTAATCTCTCTGCTGCTGAATGTTTGAGTCACTCTGACTTTGCAACTGCACATTTGGCATAACAGAATTAGCAATGAATGTTCATAGAAATACCCAGACAAAATCTAACAGAAATTATTATAGTGGGAAAAAAGTTACAAGCATGCCTCAGGGAGCAGTTGCATACGGAAGGTAACACAACAGCACCGTAAAGGGATAGTATTGATAGTCTGTGCATTATCTTCAGTAGATTTCAGTCATTAGCCCCACAGTTTGGAGAAGCAGGCAGAAGTCCAACACAGAAGCTAAGCAATGTAACAGCTTTAGTTCCCCATCTGTACTCTCACCAAAGCTACCAGACTCCATTGAGAAAAACAGTCAATTTAGCTCAGTGAACAAGGGAGCTGCTGGTCTACTGCTGCTTTGATCAGTTAGTTTGTTTCTGTTCCTGTGTGACTTTGGTGAATCTGAACGTACCCTCTTAAATGCCAAAGTCGCACAATGACACAAACAAACAAACTGATCAAGGCCGTTGTGGCCCAGCAGCTCCTGTGTTCAGTGATGATAAATCATTGTTTTTCTCAGTGGAGTCTGGCTTTGAGGAGCGCAATATAACGGCTTAATCCAGTTGAAATCACTGTCATACATTAAGGTAAAGCAGTGAGAATACCATCAACAGAGTGTACACTTAAACTTAAAGTTTTTGGGTGGTCAAAATACTTTTTTTTTTCCGGACCCCTCCACATCAGATTGCTTAGCTTCCATGTCAGACATCAGCCTGCTTCTCCAAAATGTGGGCGTGCCGACTGACATCTACTGCTTGTAATAAGCCATCTATGGATAAGTAACCCAGACAACCCCACTTAAAAAAATCTGAACTGTCCCTTTAAACTATACAGTAGCCATACATTCAGTCATTAGGGCTCCTCAGTGAGCTTTGTTTACTGCTCATTGATCTGAAATCCTCTCTCCTCCTCTCCCTTGCCATTCATAAAAACAACACTGCACTGCATGTGTGTCTCGGCTGTTCTGCACAGAGGAGAATGCACTGTTGTAGTAACTCGAGTGCTGGGCCAAGTGCTTTTTTGGGAAAGTACCACAATCACTGTTGGCTCTTCTACTGCTGCACCAGTAAAACATTTTTATAGTTTGCTTGTGAATTTTTATACACGTATGTAATCCAGAGAGATTCAGGTTGTGAGTTGTTTTTGTGGGAAAACATACTTACATGTGTTACATTAGCTATTGCTTGCCTGGGAAAACTTAAGTTGTCAAAATGACTTTAGTTTCTGATGCACAATCACGCTTTATGACAAATCAATAAGATCTTTTTGCTGCATTAATAATGTAGTATGTTTATTAGACAAATTGCATTAAATTAATAGGAGCCTCATGTCTACATCACATAATGCAGAGTCCCACTTACATCAGTTTAAGTTCTCCATTGTCTCAATGAGGGTGCACCAGCTCTTAGACAATAGCTCCTCTCTGAAAGCAGGGAAACCTCGCCACAGTGTGGGTCAAAAGACTCCTATTGTCCCATCTTCTATTGTGCTGCTGGAGTAGCCTGCAAACAGAACACTGTCAGCCTTTGTCTTTGTGCGGATCAGCTGTGCAGCCCTTTTTTTCATGCACCATGTAGTCCCATGTGGCTGCCATGCCCTACATGTCACCATAATAAAGTTAAGGACACTGCTGTTACAGTTGATAATGGATAGGCAAATATGTTTCGCCAGTTGAACGTTAGGAAATTGGAGAGTTCAGCATATGTGTTGGGCCTCGGGGCTTTTCCTCGGCCCTCACAATGATGTCCCTGTGATTTCATTTGCTCACTTTAAAGGTCTGAAAGGCTCAATGACAGAGTGTGGGAACAAAGTGTTTATCAGCTCATGGCGAGCTGATTATTGAAATGCATTGTGTGGGTGAAAAGTGTGGATTCATGGATAATGATCATGTTGCATTAGTAAGAGGAAGTATTAAGATATTTTAAGATAAATATAAAAATATTCTGTTACAATAGTCCCACATCCAACATTTTATTTACTTTAAGTAAACGTACAGAAGTAATAAATGCTAAATATTCAAAGTATCAAAAGTGAAAGTAGTAATTTGAGGAATGGCCCCTTATAGAGGGTTATATTATTACTGAAAAATAGAAAGTATAATGTCTCCCTCTCGATTGTAGCAGACTAGAAATACAAAACAGCAAGAGGCTACTTTCCAACCTTTTGTAATTTTTTGCTGCAGAGACATTGTAGTTTATTATTTGTGACTATAAAAAATGTATTTCCTCTTATTCTAAAAGGCAAAAATTACATTTAATGGATTATATCACAGCTGTAGCTACAGTTAATACATAATACAAGTTATAGGTGTATTGGATAAAACTGCAACACTAATATGACATGGACTGCACAAAAACTTTCAATCAGAGCTGGAGGAAGTACTTAGATTGCTTACATAAGTAAAAGCACCAATACTACAATTTAAAAATTCTCTATTACAAGAAAAATTCTTGCCTTTAATTGTGTTTACTTGAGTAAAAGTACATAATAGAGCAGGGAAATAGAAGCATCAAAAGAATAATCCATTTCAGAGGTTCATATTGTCATATACTATATAATGTGGTCTATATATTGTAAAATATTGTGTGGAGCTAATTTTTATTACTTTATATAGTGTTGGGCATGTTCATCTTGACCTATAGGTCATTTACAAGATGGTGATGTGCTTCATTTAAAAACTTCTAATTTTAGAAGTAATTATTGCAATGAAAATAATAAATGTAGTTGAGTAGCACCAAATGTAAAAAGCCAAGTAAATGACTGAATATAACATAAAAACAAAGTTCCTTCATAGTGGTATTCAGGCAGGGACCAGAATGGACCAGCTTCCACTCTTTATTGAAATTGTTATGTAACAACGCCTCCAATTGGCCCGCTTCAAAATTCCAAATTTAATCCACCCCTCTGATTGGACAGTGCTTGGAAAAGGGGCAAGCGGAGGGGCGGGGCTTAGCAGAGTCGGGAGATTCGTCAATCTGTGTACAGATTGTCGCGCCGCCAACCGGGGACCACGTAGGAGTACATGTTACTTTTTTTGTTTGCTATTTTGACTATTTTAACATCGAATTAAAGCTCGGAAATGATGGGAAATGAATGAACACCACATGTTTATTTTTCACGGGGTCTCCCTGACGAAGAAATGCACACTGAAGGGCGTTTACCGTGTTTTTTCCAGTGTGTTTTTCCTAACAGGTAGTGAGCCTCAGCGGTCAGTCAGTGTGGCTCTAAACGGAGACTGAATATCCCGCTTTGTAATCTCTTGACAGCCTTTTTAACTCATCTTTGGCTCGACCGAGGCTTTTAACCAACAACCTACACCCCCTACAAACATGGACAATGTGTTGCTTTTGTCATTTCGGAGTAGTTTGCTGAATTTGTAACAGGTAGGTTTTTGGTGTTCACTATTATAACCACAGCAACAACCTGTCGTCTTCCCTTGTTAGCTTGTCCACAGCGACCCGTAGTAACAGCAGTAAGGGTGATTTCTGGCTAAAAACGAGTGGAAAAACGAAGAAAATAGGTCGTTTTGGTGTATGTGTGCCATGTCGTAAGAGAGAGAGTATTTAGCATCCAGTGTTGGCTGTTTATATTTAGCGTATGGCTTAATACATGATGGCTGGTGTGGCGCTTTTAACACCGCAATCCTTATAATGTGCACTTTCCCCCCACAGAGTGCCATGAATTCCGCTTTTATTTGACATGCACGTCTCATTTCTTTTCCTCCATGGGTGCAAATGATATTACAGAGGTGTCAGACATTTTTAATCAAGGCTTGCAGAGAAGCTCGACTATCCACCTGACATTAAACGCCACATTTAAGCAAACGCACGCTCCATTAATTGAATAGGAGTGTTGTGCATGTTTGCCATTAATTGGAATTCATATAAACCCTAAAGTCATGCTGTACTATCTGAAAAATCACAATGATATCCTTCCGTATTGATCTCAGTTTGCTTTATTGTCAAAGCTACTGTGATACCAGCATAGTGACCTTTAGATAAACAGCATTCTTCATTAAGAGTGAGGAAGGTTAAGATGTTAGGCTGTCCTTGGTTGACCAGGCTCATCATAAATTTATGGAGCTTTGATGTGACATTAAATGGCTGTAGTATTTTCAAGAATGCATTCCAGGTTATCTTCTTGGCTGCATGGGACAGTGTGGACATCATTTGCCTAACTAACTTGTGCACTCCTGTGTTCAGATTTCAGCCACTGATGGACATGAAGAAGGAGGACGGTGTGGATTAGGATCTTTTTCCTCTTCCTTTTTCTTTTTTTTTTCTTTCTTCTTGTGTTTTTCTGTTTTTTTGGCTTCATCCTCCTCACCTCAATGTGGTCTCTAAAGGACATCTTCCTCCTCTGTGGTTTGAAATGAAATGATGGCAGCACGTTGGAGTGATTCACCCCAGGACAATGAAGAGCGTAAACACACAGCCGTGACTGCGTCTTGCGAGGTAAGACTTTGGATAGAGATGTGTCTGGGTCCCAGGCTGCTACTGTTCACTGTGCTTGTACAGCTCTTGCATGGTGGCTTTTGATTCGTTAGCTACTGTGGCGTAGTCACAAGTATTTGCAGATGTATCAAATAAGAAGACTGTGTGTGTGTGACCCTTGGCAGTGTGACAGAGATAATTTTTAATCCTGATTTACCAGATTCCTCTTGGAACATCTATTTTTGATACAATGAAAGCTTTATACTACCACTGGAGTGGAAAACAACATGCATGTGGATTCAGTGGATATAACTTTCACCTGAAGTATCCATGAAAACCACCAGACTACTTAGTGGCTGTAACTTCATCAGCGCTGCTTCAAAGGTGTCCTCACTTTTTAGAAACCTTGTGACATGCCACAGAAGTTGCAAAGTGTGTCATGCACTCGGAGGGAAACAGAGCAGAGTGTGAGCTAAGTGTTGCAGCGCGCAGCACATCACATCTGCCAGTGTTCGGGGTGACTAAGTTCATTTCTGTCTCACTCTGACAACTGTTTAAGTGCACAAAGAGACTTGCTGTGCTAATCTTACTGGGTCTTTTGTGGGTCTGCATGCCAAACTCTGGTAAATGGCACACTGTGGGGCTCATCCCTTTTCCCTCGTATGCTCGGTAGCTTCAATGGTTACATCATTCTAATCATCATCATAGTCCAGCTCGGCTTGATGCATGTCATAACAGCATTGCAGCTGTGGCATGTTTTGGATTAATCCATCATCAGAAAATGGCAACAGTCCCCTGTGTGTATGTGTGTGTGTGGCTGTAATCCTCTTACTATGTCGGAACTAGCTGAGGATGGACGACATAAATCGCTGGGAATGGGGTAAAGCAGCAACCTAAAAGTCGGGACAGCTGATGGAGTAAAGGAGGAGCAGATATTTATTTAAAAACGTCTTACAGTGCAGAGCATTTGCTGTATCAGAAGTAGTTTCTGGCAGTTTGGCTTCTTTTTCTTCGTCTAATGTTTTGTGTACTGTCAGACTGAGAAATCTGAGAATCCGTGAGATAAATACACGTAAGTTAGTTATCATAAAAACCGCTTTCTTTCTTCTCCGCTAGCTGCTTCAAGTGTCATTGCGGTGTGGTTTTCCTCATCTTTTTCTGCGATCTAATAAATGTTTCCTGTAACATCACTTAACTCACCCTCGCTGAGTGAAACTACAACCACCGCAGCCTCCCAAATGCCCAGCTGCTGAGCAGAAGCATCAAAAATACATCAATAAACAAGCTGCCTCTCCACTTCATAGTCTCTGATACTCTCAAGCTTTGGTCAGCGTCAATCAATTAATGCCTCTCACACACTTGAAGACTGTGAAAAGACTTTTATAAGATTTGTAAGTCGGACACCTTCTCACATCTAAAGACAATGTGAGTTTTAAGTCACACACTGTAAGAGTTTGCAAAGACTGAGGATCTTGCAGGGTCACTATTTGCAAGACTACATCTTGATTCCTCTTGAAATTTTGTTTTGTGGCTTTAAAGGTTGAAAAACGCACAAGAAAGACGAGGATGCTGTGTGCAGAGGTGTGCTCTGCAGGTGCATGGCTGCTCACTGAATCACCAGGACACCCTGATAAAAGTGAAATTTGACTCCATCAGTTTTTTAATAACCTGAGGACCAGAACGGTTTTTGGCACAAACACTGCACCGCTGCAGAGGAGGTGACTCACCTGTGAGTCAGTACCGGTGTTTATCCTGATTGTTTGCAGCCCGGGGCTTGACACAGGAGCAAGGCAGGTCTTTTTATCTACCTGATGCCTCCTACAACACAAACACAAATCTCACCCAACTTTCAAGCTTCACTGCCTATGAACTGCCTTCCCCCCTGGGGTCTAATGAGAGCTGAGATCCCCAAGGCGGGATGAACCTCCCTCTCCCCTCACCCCCACTCACTCCACTGCATCATCTCGACTCGCTAATGAGGGAGATTGCAAGGGGCGTTTTCTCTAAGACTACCCCCCTAACACACACACACACACACACACACACATACATACAGTCACCCACCCCACCCTGCTACTGCCAAGCGATGGTAGCAACGCTGGGGTAATTTAGGCACAGCTGTCCTGATCATTAGGGGAAAACACCCCACGTGTGTAACGTCTGCTTCTCTCTCTCTTGGCCTCATTCACATTCCCTTCCTTATTTAATCTGCTGACACACTGATACTGGCAGAGTTGTCATGGAGCAGCTGAGGCTCAGCTCTAAACATCCTAGAGCAGTGGCACTCAAACTTTTTTCAGTGATGCACCCGTTTGAAATGTTTTTTTAAGCCAAGTACCTCCTGACCAGCGCAAAACATTTTTGGTAGGAAAAAAAGAGTGTAGAAGAGGTACAATACAGAGCTGCGCCATTAGCGTCTGATCTACGAAACAACCTTGTGACTAAAAATTGTTAGAAGCCATCACTAAATTCATGGCAGACCATTTTTTTTGTTATTATACGGCAAAGCCAAGATGGCTTTGTAGTTTCATTAAACTGCATATTTTTGATAAATTGCACTTCCATTTTAGTGATATCATTATTTTAGGAATCATGTATGACTGATATTTAAATTAACATTTAAAAAAAAACTCACATACCCCCTGCAGTACTCCAAAGTACCCCTTGGGGTATGAGCACCCCCATTTAAGAAACACTTTTGTAGAGGAAGACGACAAAGTGACTTTTTTGTTGTTAGAAACTATGCGAAATAATGAAAATTTATGTAAAGTCCAAGCTGAAACTGGGAATCATATGGCATTTTTGATAGAAAAATTACTTGAACGACTATCAAAATAGCCGCTGATTATTTTTCTGTCAATCGATTGATTGACTAGCCTAATTGTTTCCTGTCTAGCTAGCTCTAGAAATTTTCCAATACCATTTTTTCCTTCCTAAATCTGACTCTGTCACTTTAACTTGTGTATTGGCCGATTCCAGGTTTCCGATCCCATATCATTAGGCTACTTAAAAAAAAAAACAAACCTGTATGTGTTTGAAATGACTACTTTCATTGTATGCTATGGCTCAGGTACCCCATAAACAGAAGGGATTTTCCAGTGTAAAATATTTGCCATATTGCTGCGATTTTGCTAACAGCTAACGTTACAGTTTTTATCGGAAATCAGTCTTTCTTCGCTGTTCTGAAACAGTAGCGGCAAGTGGCTAACTCTTTGTGTAGGCTACTATTTTAAAGTGGCAAAGAAATGATTTCTAGGAAAACTGCTTTTTTCTCTGGGTGTGAAACTATATAATGTAAAGCATTTCTGATACTGGTATCGGTATTAAAACAATTCTAGTTAGCTTAGGGGTTGACTTTATGGCTGCCATGTTTGGACATTTATATTTTGAATATCATAAAGCACCTGCTTCTCCAGTGAGATCTCTCTGCCGCTGTTGTGTTTACTATTACAATGGCATGTTAGCTATTGTGACGTAATGGAAGCTGAAACGAGTAGTCCATTGGTAAATTGAAAAGAAAAAAAAGATTTGACAGCTTATTTTGATCAATGATCAATCATTTAATTCATTTTTTGTTAGTATAAGTGGCAAATTGATCTAATTTCCAGCTCCAATGTGAGGGCTTTCTCGATTTTCTATGAATGTAAACTGGATATCTTCAGATTTTTGACAGTTGGTCAAAAAAAAGAAGACAATTGATAGACCAAACCATTCATAGATTCATCAAACAAAAAAATAATGAGGAGATGAATTGATTAGAAAAATAGTCATTGGTTGTAGCTCTAAATGGTAGTCAGTGTATGCCTGTACAAGCATTTGATACTTTACTTTTGCTGGTTATCTTTCTGTCTCTATCCCTCTCTTTTCACTCAACATCAGTTTTACATTTTCAATTTTAGTTAGCAAAAAGTAATATTATTTTTTGTCGCCAAGGTATATAGAAAATAAGAATGGTGCATAAAGGAAAGTGGAGCAATAAAGCAAAACAAACACAATGGTCAGGCTCTCTCTCCATGTATTGATCACATCCCTCATTCATGTCGGGGTGGATGAGACCAATGGTGGTGCTGCGAGTGCTAGTGATGCTCTCCGCTTTGCTCTAAATATAGCCCCTCCCAACTCCATAAACCCTTGCTCTTTTTTTCCCTCTCCCCCTTCCACATGCTTGTCTTTCACCCGTCCTCTATTCCCGCGTGTTTTTAGTGATGCTATATTTAACCCGTGGAAAGATGAATGCTGGTGAGGGAAAAATGAAATCACTGTACCGGAATCGGCGTTCGTTTTCTCCTCAGTGCTGTTACAAGCAGTGGATATGTGGCTGTTGGTCAGGACAGTGTCATTTTAGGGGTCTGGGAATGCGACAGTGGTCAGTTTTAGCCATGTGAGAGGCTGTTTTTTCTCTGTGGAAACTAGGAAGACTCTCTTTTCCACATACATACCCAGATGGTAACAACTTAAATTTCCAGTGTCACATCCCAGCCCTAATTAAACTCCCTATGATCTCACTTTTTTTGAAAGTCTGATGGGTTTATTTTAGACATTGCAAGGAAAAAAGAAAAGAGAGAGGAGATTACAGTGTCTCCTAAAGGAAATGCCCCATGCTTTCATCAGTGTTTAGAGCTGTGGCAGTTCATCAATCAAAGCAGCGGCAAAACGATTTTGATTTGCATTCATTTGAAAAGCAAATGTGTCTCATGCAGCACATCAGGATTCTTTCCCATTGAGCAAACAAGACACTGACCTGGACATGAACCGGCTTCTGTCTTAGCTCATACACTCACAGAGAGAAAGTGTCCTGGGAATAACCAGGAGCAC